ACACACACACACACACACACACACGACGGTCTTTGCCTGTTGACTGGAGTGTTTAGTCCGTTCACATTCAGTGTTGTGGTTGGGTTTACACATGCCATTTTACTGTTTCAGTTCATTTTGTTCCGCCCCTGTTGCCTTCTTTTATATTTTACGGTTTTCTTTTAGTGTAATTTTTAAAAAGATTTATTTATTTGAAAGTCAGTAGCATTGAGAGAGGAAGAGACAGAGAGACATCTCTCTCTATCCACTGATTCACTCCCCAAGTGGCCACAACGCTCAGGTCTGGGCCAGACCGGATCCAGGAGTCTGGAAATCCGTGCGGGACACCCGCGTGGACGACAGGGACCCAGGCCCTGAGCCCGTCACCTTCTGCTTCCCAAGTGCACCGGCAGCAAGCTGGGGCTCAAACCAGAACCCCGATACAGGACGTGGGCGCCCCGGTGCCGGCGTTGTGTGCTGGGCTAGGCTGCCGCTTGTGGCTCCAGCACCCGACGGGAGCGCCCAGTTAGAGCCCCGGCGGCTCCGCTCCCTGTCCCGCTCCCTGCTGACGCGCCCGGGAAGACGGGTTGCAGGCATCCACGCTGCAGCTCCACCTGCCGAGCCACAGTGCCTGCCCCCAGAGGGACGTTTTTATTTCTTCGTTTTGTTGAAGTTTCTTCTTTTTAACTTCGGCCCCCACATGTAGGGCAGAACATGGGATGTGTGTTCTGTGCTGGTTTACCAGATGGCCGCCGTGGCCGGAGCTGGGCCAGGCCACAGCCAGGAGCCAGGAGCTTCCTCTGGGTCTCCCACGCGGGTGGGTGTCTGCCGCTGCCGTCTGCCGCTGCGTTTCCCACGTCGTTGGCAGGGAGCTAGTGGAGCAGTCGGGTAGGAACCTGTGCCCGTGTGGATGCCCCCAGCCACGGCACCAGCCCCTCCCCTGCCTGCCAGCGGTACCGCCCTAAGTCCTACAGAGGATTACACATTATTGTTGTGTGCAGCTGTCTTAAGTAACTGAGAGAAAAAAGAAACAAAGCATATGACGCTACTTCAAGATCTGTGGGAATTGAGTTAGAATAGAAGTCTGTGTGGTGCAAAAATTTGGAATCTATGCAGTTTTCTTGCATTTTGTATTTTCAGTGAACTCTGCGGGCCTTCTGTGGTCACTGTGGTTACCTGTGCACCAGTGTGTGTGAGAGAGGTCTCCCATCCACTCGTTCACTCCCAAGGCTGAAGCCAGGAGCTCCTCCAGGCCCCACACGTGTGCCAGGGACCCGCACTGGGCCGTCCTCTGTGCCTTACAAGGAGCAGAGGCGGGGGAGGCGGGGCTTGAACCCGCGCTCACGTGGGCTGCTGGCGTCACGGGCAGCAGCTTGACCTGCTGTGTCCGGCCGGCGCTGGCCCCGCTGGCTCGTGTTTCCTTTCAGTTACTGTACTTCCAGCCCCAGAGTTGTCAGTGTTTAATTTCTGTCTTTCTAGTAGCTTCAGCTTGGACTGTCCCCGGCCATCGTGCCCATGCGGGAGTAAACCAAGCGTGGAAGCTTGCTCCCCCT